TTGCTACGAGCAATCATGCGAAAAAGAATTGTGAAACAAATCTGCCAAAGAATAGTCAAATTCACATAGCAATGCGCTTCTTTGGATGCCTAATATGTTCCTCTACTTTGGAAGAACTCAAGAATATCGTTTGCCTGGGCCATTTTATATTCAAAAGCAGATTTGTCGACAGCCGTTTGATGGAAAAATTTTTTTCCATCAAAGATGAGTTTTCGGAACATATCCAAAATTTTACTTTCTTTGATTGCATTGATGTACTGATGATACATCACAGAAAGACAGTCAAGAGAAAGAGGAAGAAGATATTGTTGACTGTGACATTGGAATTGAAAGCTTACTGGCGAGTCCATCAATTAAGCAATTTTGGGAAAAAGAGTTAAGTAACATGAAAACAAATGGTATCAATATTAAGTTGGACATGAACTGAACAAATACTATATGCCTAAATATTTTGACTATGTCTTTGACAGTTATCTGAACACCTGTTTCTTATGGTCACGTTTGCTTCTCGGGGATTTAGGAAGCCATAATCCAATTTAGTACACAAAATGCAGCACCAGAACATCAGGAAGCATGCATAACTACATGTACGATAATGATACAAATGGTCAAATTGAAGATTTTTTCAGAATTAAGAAACACATTTCTTTTATTAAGGGAAAGCTAAAAGAAAAAGCTAAGACTCGACATGTTCATTGGAGAAAACTGGAATGAAAACAAAGCCATACAAAGAGAGTTTGTCAACGCTATTTCCAGTGAACATAATGTAAATAAAATAAAACTTAGAGCAAAATAAAACTTAAAAGCAAAATAGAGAAGCTGTCTACAACAGGAAAGAACCACGTCCAACGATAATGATTCCCTAAATTTTCAGCCGTCTAATTGTGAAGAACATCATGAGGAAAATGAGTACAATGATCTAGTGGAACAATGGAGTAAGCCAAGCCCAATGCGTCAAACTAAGAACAAAAAGAAATATCTCAAACTGTCCGATAAGAGATTAAATTTTGATCCTTTTTTGCCGACACCACAGGCTGTTTGTGAAGAACAAGAAAATAAAAGTGGAAAAAATATTGAAAAACAAAATTGTCGTTATATTATACCTTAATTTATCCCTACTTGAATTAGTGTAATCTTGTCTGGTCAACAATCTCACATCTAAATCGTTTATTTTTATTACAAAAGCGAATTGTCAGAATAATAACAAATTCTAATTTCTTATTTAATTCTAATTCTGGCGAAAACCATATATGGTATGCGTTCTATATATGGAAGTTATCTGCGTCTGCGAACCCCTACAAGGTTATTTCCGTCATATTGCCTGCAGGGCAAAAAAAACTGGCTTCGAGCCGTGGCGGTATTGTTGGGAAGAAAGAAAACTAAACATCTCTGCAAGTATTTGGGCTAAAGACCCCAGAATACCACCAAACGATAGAGCTTGAAAAGACGATTTAAATAGTATCAAACATGCTTGATATGCGAGAAAAGGTTGCATGTGGCGGAAAACTCAGAAAAATCTATCCGCACACAGTGAGCTGTCGGCCGCGCTAACAGGCACGAGTAACTCGTAGCTCAGCTGATTGCAGATAGCTCTCGTGTGCTGCAGGCTTAAAATGCATGCGATTTATTTATTATTCAATATTACACATCAAAGCACACCTAATCTATAAAATATTGCGCAAAATACAAACTAAAACGGATACAGTGAGTTAGTACAGTTAGTTCACATTCTCAGGATTATTTTGCTATCTTTAGCGTCAAAATCGAGCCTTTAGAGGATTTTTGCTGACTTTTTAATATAAACATGCATGATGATATGAATTATCACATCACCGGCAATACTATTTCACTATAATACAAATATCGAAAAAAAAATATGGCAGAAAAAGCTGAAAAATTTACCCCCTAGGTCCAATTTTACGTCCGGAATCGATTTTTGGGGTCAAATTTACCCTAGGGGGAGGGTATCATAGAGTTTTCTCGCCTTTTCCAATCGCACTACAACATTCCGAGCACGTAGTAAGCACGTGCTTAACTCAAGTGAATATTATGGCGAATTGGCAACATATCGATCTAAAAAGAATGTATCTACTGAGGACAATTTCCTCCTTAAAATGGTTCTATTTTTATTAAAATCGGTCTAGTATTCACACAGAGATCGCAAGTAAAAATGAGGTAACCACTTTAAGATGCCATCTGATCCGAATTCAATACGAATGGCGGTCATAGAAAATTTTCGTTTTTGCCACTTCGTTGGCTAACCGCAAGTGAACACTGAATTTAACGATTTCTAACGAAGCACTCGTTTTATTGAGCGGTTTAACTTGCTTGAAGTCACAACAAAGAACGATTTGTGCTGATTTGTATTTCCGCGTGATGACAAGCGCACAACAACCGCCCCGAAAAGCCGCCACCCACTTCTTATAATAGCCTTCAATTTTCATACTTGCAAGCGAAGCATTGCAGGCTCTGGGCACACTGGAGACCAGATTGAGTATTACTATTATTAATTGAAATAAAATCCCGTCTCGCCACAACAACACAGTGCTTCGTTAGAAATGGTGGCAAAAAAGAAAACATTCTGTGACCGCCATATGTATTAAATCTTAATGTAAATGCCTGAATTGGCTGGTCGTGCAGCTCAAACCCAGTTTTTTTTTGCCCTGCAGCCGCAGGCAATATGGCGGAAATAACCTTGATGAGTCTATTCACAACTGCTCTCACTCTCAGCATGCTTGAAGCTGCTGGCAGGAGCAAATTAATGCTGTATCAAATACACACGTAAAAACACATGTTGTCGCAACATTGTTACTGTAACAGTAGTGACACCTAACACTTAATGCCCCTATTGTTCACGACAATGTTCACAATATTATTCATTTCAAAAAAAAGCCCAGAAAGCCTCTATGGAGTAGAAAAACTTAGTTTAAACAGCTGTTGTTTTTCTTAAACATGTAATATTTGGACTTGCGATGCCAGCACTTCCCTTGCGATAGTAACTTCTAGTTTATATTTGTTGCTCATTACATTCGTTAGTCAGTTCACTTTCTTTGCGCAACTGCCAACTGCGATAGTAACTTCTAGTTTAATTCTGTGCTATTCACAACTCTCATAATGATATCCAAAGTCAAATTATGATATAACAGGCTGATAAACAGAAACTTATGCAATAAAACACATGAGTTGGGCAGACCTAAAGCTATAAATACTAGATCTAAGTTGGAATCAAAGGACACTCCCTTCTTGCTCAGTGGCACAGGTTGGCGTGAGTTTGAGTTTTTATCGTCCTTCATACGACCCTGTTGAGGTCCATCAAGTGAAATGGCAGACGAAACTCCAGACACAGATTCAGTATCCGGCGATCCAGCCGATAGCAGCACCAAATATCAACATTCAACAACCACAAGAACAGCCACAGGCTACCGGTGAAGCGGAATGAAGTTTGATGGATGGGAAGGTTTTCTTTTTTCCCTTACATCAGACATTTAAAGGGCGTTTTAATGGGAACAGTTTGATTCCTATTTCCTACCACCTAAGATGTTTAAAAACAAGTCTCCTGTGCATTATTTGTCGACTTTATCCGCCAGACCCTTTCACAACGCTTGGGAACTGGGGCAATTTCTGTGCTTGGTAAAGTAGGGCAAGCTCCACCCCCACATTTAGTTTTGCCACTGTTGAGCCTTCAAGGCCAAGATTATGCCAGATTATGCCATGATGGTCGTCCTTGTAAAGAGTACAACCTCCGTCATTATTCACGCTTTCTTGAAAAATTTTCACTCAATTAGGTTTGGCTTGTTCAATTTCTTCCTTGGCTAACGGGCCATGGGAATTTTTCCTTGCATTCCTCGTGAAACGGAAGATATAGGCTGTCACTCATAGTAACTTTCTATACTTGAACTTCGTTAACATGTAGTTGATCATCTGTGCGTCTTGTGTGATCACTTGTTTAACCAGGGTTTGTTTGGCAATCATCTCTTGGGAAATCTCTGCCGTTTCCGTTATCTCTGGTTGCTCTGGCCACAATTCATGCTTGGAAAGCCACTCAGAACCCTTGAACCACATATCTGTTAGCTTACTTGGTGTTGCTCCCCTGGTTCCCATGTTGCTAGTTGCTTGGAGTGTAATGCCAGGTTGCATTTGTTAACTCCTTAATTTTCTTGACACAATTTCTTACAAACACCGACCATGTCCCTTTGTTTGCAAGCCAATAGAGCACCGTCACACTATCTACCCAATTATGGACTGCACAAATGGATTGTTGTTCCAACGCCTTCATTACATTGTTTAATAACTTGGCCAATGTCGTAGTTGCAGTCATTTCTAGTCTTGGAATGCTTGTCTTCTTTGGAGCAACTCTCGACTTCGCCATGAGCAAGGTTTGGTTTACTGCTGTCGATCCGCTGCTATGCCACTTATGCAATTGAAAGTCGGTCGCCGCCATGATCGTTGTTGATTCTCCCTTAAACTTTGTCACTAGACTCTCTGAATCGCCTCCTCCCTGTATATCATCAACGTACATGTCCTCCTTTGATGCTCGCACTGTTTCTGGGTGCGTGTTCACGTATCCTTCCAAGTGGTTTTCCATGGTTGCTCTGTGAGTATATGGGCTCGAACAGGCTCCGAAAATGACTCGCATAAACCTGAACTCGATTATATTCCGGTTCATCAAGTATCCGTTGTGCGTCACAATCGTTTTGCTTAACGATGATTTGAAGAAAGGCTTTCGCTGCATCACCAGTGATACACAACATTCGGAAGCGATTGTGGAGGAGTATATCTAAGAGGAGTGGTTGCAATGAGGGCCCAGTCTCTAAGCAATCGTTTAGGTAGGGCGCATCCACATTTGGTTTTGAAGAACAGTCGTAGACAATGTGCATTTTTGTCTATTCTGCTTGCTCTCTTATCACTGGTTGATGAGGTATGTAGTTGATAACCTTCCCGGTAGGTTGAACTGGAACAGGCTCGATCACCTGTCTCTTAGCTGTTCATTCATTATTTTGTTATAATTCTTCCAGCTTCCCCATTCTCTCAAGCTTTCGTGTGATGTTGTGTAGCCGTGCAATCGTCTGATTCTTGTTTTCTGGCAGAGGCATACAGTCACTTTTCCAAGGTAGCCCTGTCTCGTAGAATCCATCATAATTCTGTTGAAGCTGCTGCTTAAATTCTTCGTGCTGGAACGTCGTCACCACGTCCCTATCAGTTACACCGAGAACATCATCTCTGATGATTTGGACTGGCAAGATGTTCCAACCAGTACAAGACTGTCAAACTGTCCGACCATAATTGATTCTCCTGCAAAATGTTGAATGAACTGAGAGCGTGATTTACTTGGCTTAGCAACTTGGCGAGGCTGTGTGCAGCGACAAGTTCTAAGCGAGGTATCGAAACATTCTTCGGAGCTACACAAGATTTTGAAACCAGAAGGTTTTGACTTGTCTTCCCATCTTTGTAGGTTGCTAGAACATAAATTGCTGCACAATACTGCTAACTGGCTTGCATCGGCAAAGCCATGTATAGAAATCTGTTGACTCATCGGTTTTACCACGCTTTGAGGTACTGTAATCTCGGTACATTCACGGAGTGTTTTAGCCCATTTATTCCATCGACGCCCTATGTCATCAGGTACTTGTTCGTCCCAGGAGACCTTACGCAAACAAAGTTCACTGAACAAGATTTTTCCTGTAATCATCACCGGTGAAGCCCACCCGAGCAGATCGTATACACCGTTTATCGCTGCCAATACCTTACCTTTAGTGAATGGAGAAGTTATGAGTTGACAAGCTTCAAAGTTAACTCGAAGAATGTCCATTTTCTTCTCCCAAGGAACTCTGAGGAACTTTCTCAACTTTCGCATTGGGATCTTGATCATCTTTGGCGGTTTTGTTTGAATTAGATTCCAACTCTTCAACGTTGCTGTGTCACTTATGTAGAGTGAACCCACCTTTTTCCATGATTATCGTGGATTGTTTTTTAAATGTTTCAAGTTCACTGACCAAATCTCCTCCACTTTGCACGTCGTCGACATATGTGTCCTCGAGTAAGGCTTTCGTTGCCTCTGGATATTCGTCTTGAAACTGTTTCACGTGCTGTTGTAAGGTTGCCCCCAAGATATAAGGACTTGGCGCAGCTCCAAAAATCACTCTTGTAAACCGGTATTCGACAATTTCTTTGTTGTACCACAACATTCTCTGCGCGTCACAATGTTGCTTGTTTATTCGTACTTGTAAGAAAGCTTTCTTCAAGTCACCTGTGATACACTTACTCCTCAGTCGATTTCTTAAAAGGATGTCGAACAACAGTGGCTGTAAAGATGGTCCCTTCTCGAGGCAGTCATTTAAGGATGGTATTTGAGGATCAGCTTTTGCAGAACAGTCATACACGATTCTGAGTTTAGTGGACTCGGCATCTTCTCGAATCACCGGCTGATGTGGAATGTAGTGTACCACCTCCCCTGTTGGCTTTGGAGGCACTGGTTCAAGAATTCCTTCACGCAGCTGTCCTTCCATCACACTGTGATATTCATCTAGTTTCCCCAGTTTCTCTAGTCGTCTTGTTGTACTCCTCAATCGCGCCACAGTCAACGCTCTATTTGCCGGTAGCATTGGATGATCTGGTCTCCATGGTAGATCAGTTTCATAAAACCCTTTATCCGTCTGATGCAAGTGTTTAATAAAGTTCTCGTGAAATTCTGTCTCTGTCTCCAACTTCTCTGCTAGTCCCAGCACGTCCACTGAGCATAACTTCTCAAATTCACTCTGACTGTTCAAAAAGAACTCTTTCTCAGCTGATTCCATCGAAACAATCTTGCCACACAGCGCCCATCCAAGCTTTGTAAACTCTGCTCCTGGATCCGTATCCGGATTTTCACCAAGTATCAGCTGCTCTGCTGACTTTATCCGTTGATAATCTGCAGCTCCTAGGATAATGTGCACAGGTATTTGCCTGTCAGTGGTCTCCTCATCAAATAATTGCAGTTTCTGGAAAGGTTTGGAACTCATCTTCAGGTCTTTCACCTTTGGATTAGGTAAGTAGGTAAGAACTTCCTTCCCAGCGTTGATACAATCAATATCTAGCTCAAAATCATCTACCACAATTGACTGGATATGAATTCGATAGATGTCCACATTCTTTGTCACAGTTCCGTATAATTGCTCAATGCATTTTCGTTCGCGTCTCACTGGTTTGAGCGACAGTTTGGTGATAACTTCTGAACAAATGTATGATGTGCTCGCACCCGTATCGATCATCACTCGGACTACCCGATCATTCACCTTTGCCTTGACTGTTGGATGAAGTGTTGTTGAATTGCTGCTGAAACTCATATTCTTCTCAATAGACTGTTTAACTGTGTTTTCTGTACCAAGTTTGGACTTTTCCTTTTCCATGCTCGATTCCTCGCTGTCACAAAGTGAGGTGTGATGCTTCTGCCCGCATTTTACACAATTTCTGGATCGGCAGGTAAGTGCAGTGTGCCCTTTTCCCGTGCAGTTGTAACACAATCGATTCTTTTTTAAAATCTCTCGCCGACTTGTCACAGTCAAGACTTTCAAACAGTTTGAACTCTTATGTTTCTCATTACCACAGTATACACGCCTAGTGTTGACTTTCCTGTTTTGCTCATGGAAAACCCTCTTCTTATTCTGATCCCGTTTTTTGGGTTTTTCTTCCTTCTCGGTCTGCAGTGGGTTTCGCTCGACATACTTTCGCAGATTTTCTGTTAGTTCCTCCAGTTTCCACTCTTCCCAATTGTCGTCTGCCATTGCCAAGATTTCTCTGACCGGTCCGAGTTTATCCATCACGGTATAAACAGTGCTTTGTGCTGAATCCAATTTCTTCATTGTTGTAAGTGTTCTCACCGCCCGAGAAAGCTTGTTGTAGAACTCGTGTATACTTGTTGTCTTGTGAATGTCCGTAATCTGTTGTAGACTCTCAATATCTTGGATAATTGCTTTATGCACCTTTATGTCCTTGCCATATGTTTCCAGTAAAATTCGCTTTGCTTCAGAGTAGCCGTCGCTGGTGTGAGGTAAACCCAAAATGTCTTCACGAGGTTTCCCTTTGGTTAGTTCAAGAAGATAGTTGAACTTGCTTATTTCCGATATGCTAGACCCATCTACTTCAACTGAGAATTGATTCCAAAAACGTGTCCAGTCCTTAAAGTCTCCCGTGAATGGAGTAATTGTGTACTTTTGAAGTTTAACACTCTGCGTAGCCGTTGCTTGCGAAGTGTTTTCCTGTAATTGTTTCTTGGCTTCTTTCTCGATTTCCAACTTACGTAAAAGCCATTCTTCCTCTCTTTGGATTCGTCGAACTTCCAGTTCTTCCATCTCCTCTTTTTCACGTCTTCGGGCTCTTTCATTTTCCTCATTTATGGCACGTTGTTTCTCTATTTCCTTTCTCAATGATTGCTTGTCTCGATCCATTTGTATCTTTGCTAACGACTCTTTCAATTTTGATTTCAAATCCCTGAACTTTTTCATTTTTGTTTTTTCCTCATTTGACCACTCTAGTATCTTAGAAAGAGTTTCCTCTTTTTCTACCATTTCATCCTTTGCTTTATCAATAGAAAGATCAAGCTTTTTCAATAGCCCACACAACTTCTCGTAATCTGCTTCTATATCTTCTGGATCGCCCATTTCCACAGAGGTTGATATCTCCTCAACACTTGCTTCTGCTAGCATCATAATCATTTTATGTTTTTCCATAGTTATTTTATAGATGACAAATATTTAAACCTTGGATGTTTAAGTAAAGAAATTATTCACTGTCCCAGTATCACTAAATCCTTTTGTTTGTTGTTCACCAAAATGTTCCAAATAATGTATGCAATTTTTTCCTAGTATGCCTTGAATTATTCCGAATAATTTATGCAATTTATGCATTTACACTTGCCCCCAATTCCACGCTTTGTATACTTCTGAAACCACCGTTTATAAATGACTTAAAATCTCCTTTGAATGTTCACTCGATCGAATGTTTAAAGAATAGTATTACTCGCTGTTCCAAAATGTGTAAATCCCCTGTTTAGTTTGTTGAAATACCCAAGTATTTTACCTTGTTTACTACATTGTCCGTTTGAGTGTCCTTGTCTCGGTCCTTGTCAACGAACACCCACCTTCGCTTGATTTATAGTCGTTCTAAAGATCACAACCCGCTTGTGATCCTGCCAGGGTCGCCACTTTCTGTGTCGGAAATCTGGCCTCGCATTCCAACACCGAAAAAGTTAAATCTACTCCAAAATATGGTTTTATCTCGATTTTATATTTCCAATACTCTCTCAATCTGTTCACCTCTCTCTATCTCTAACATATATTACAACTTCACTTCCGCTTACTTCTAATAGGTCAGATTGTTCCTAACATTACCATATATAGAACATTAATTTAAGTCTCTGAACTCTTAAAGTCACTGTAGTCACAATTTTTAACAGCTTGGTGCAACAATGCTTGGTGCAACAGTGCTTGGCGACGAATTAAGTAAATCGTCATCTTTGTTTAGATGAAAAAGGGAACTGGATGGTAGAAAAATCGTACAGTATTTTGGTTTGAAATTTATTTTTTTAAATAGAAAAGTTATCCGTCTTTCGTACCTCAAAGCATCGAAGGATTTGGGGTTTTTGTTGGTGTTTTTATCGTGTTGAAAGAAATGCCTCGAATGCGCGTGCGACGGGACGAGAACGCCGGAACGAAAGACTTGTTTTATTTCTTATGGATAAAGACTATAAGGTCTAACTTGGTATTTTGTAATGCTGGAATACAAGTTATCAAATGGCACCATAGTTGAGTCATAGGAGTTTGGTTGACATGAAATAGGGCAAGCCGTACAAGAGGTGTGATTTTCTGTGAAGCGCAAGCCAAAAAATTTCCCCATGCTCTTAACAGTGGTCTGTTCAACAAGTTGTATTTGCTTAATCAACAAAGGATTTCTTGCTCATAATCTACCAAGGTATGTTATCTGACAGATTTAATACAATAGGAAATTAACATATCGATCTGAAGTAATCAGCCTTGATTTGTGAATTATGTTTTCTAAATTATTTTGTTTGGCGTTCTGGTTAATTTGACTGATATGGCTACACATTTGCAAAAAGTTAAAGTGCATATGTCAAAATTACCATTTTTCCCCAAAAATTGGCCGTGTGGAGACAATTCACATGATATGAACCTTTTTTGAATGGATAAATGCTTCCAGATTTATTTTACCTCTAACATGTAAAAAAATAGGGTTTTTTAAAACCGGGCCAGGAGAAAAGAGTCTGAGTACGAACAGCAGGCAATGACGTCAAATCGGGAAACTCAAATTTCACACACATGTTGTTCCGCTTGTTTTCGAAGTACGCCGAACGAGGAAGGCTACAACAAATCTGTAAATTCTGTTGTTTTTTGGATATGTCTGCTTCTGAATCTTACTCAGACGACAATTCTACATCATGTGACTCAGATTCGGATGTAGTTGAGGACTATAAGCTCAAAGTGGAAGAATTTGAGTCACCTTCAGAGCAAGATGAAGAAGGGCCGTCAACTCAAGGCGAAGCAGACATGCCAGACAGCACTAGCAATAGTGTTGGAGCAGTGGCTGTTCCATACGAGGATGAGCCTATAGCGGATGATGATTGGGTCGAGAAGTACGAAGAAGGATTCAATTTGAAACCCTAGAGGAACATTTAGACAGGACAATTCCAACAAGTGACTGGTAAACCTAATTTTACAAATCGATATGTAATTATTTTGCTACACACATCGACAGGATTATTACATAAATTAAGTATTTTTATTTTGCTTTAAATATTCATTTAGGTACAAGTGTAACAACTGTGACACAAGTTTGCTGCAGAATGTGTATGAGGCTCAATGTTGCCAGGAAATAGACAGATGCACCGAATCGGCACTGTGTTCAGATGATGTGCTCCAAGATGTCGAAACACCAGCTACTTGTGTGTTACATCACCCAGGATTTCGAATTAATTGCCTGGAGAAATGGTTCTTAAGAATGGCTGCACTAAAAAACAAAACTAAAGGTCGTAGAAGATATCGCCAACAAGGATCAGAAGAAACGCGAGTTGAATTGTTTTCTTTCAGTTGAAAGCCCTCCTCATCATGCAGTTGAAAGCCCTCCTCATATGGCTAACTAAACTCATGTGTTTTACATGTAGCTACACTTTAATTCTGCAAGAAGTGATATTTGTTTTTTTATGCATTTCATTCTGATGAGCTTGGCAATTAATACAAAGTCGAAATAATACTCCATTTTCACACCATGATGCGCATTTCCGCAGCTTGTTACTGGGCATGAAATTGGTAATTACTAATAAGACTCCCTACATGAGTTTGGGATATTTTGGGCTAGGGGTAAATTTTCCCCTAGCCAGTTTTAACAAAAATTCTTTATATATATTAATTGTTCATATGCGTCAAAAGTGTTTTGCCCAGTAAGGTGAGGGCACAAATTGCGCCATCTATGATAACTATAGGATGCAGAGATGGGGAGGAGGTGGGCTTAGGTAAAAACTTTTTGTTTGATAGTTGATTCTTGTCCGTTGACTTCGGCGACTGATTCTACTCGCTTATGAGTAGCCACATTTAACCGTTCTGGTGATGCCTAGGCTCCTCCTTATCCGGATATCTGCCGGAACGCCATTCCTTGCCATCTTTACACCTGCCTAACACTATTATATAATCCTCACGCTATCTTGACCCTTTAACCCAAAACTCTTCAAACCCATTAACACAGGACGGAATACATAAAATTCCTATTCGCTAGCAAATATCTTATTTATATTTGCACATAAATATGAGTATTATGTGGCATGGGAAAGTTATGTTTGTCTTTGAGTTTACAGCTGTACAGTGCACACATTTAATTTCAAAAATGCAACTTTTGAACTATTGTATAAAATCTATTCTAGTATGCTAATATAATTATTGTTATTTTGGTATAGATACTTGCGGTCAATAGCATACCGAGAATTTTCTCAGCTTGTTTATGGAATACTGGGTCGACTGCGAATACCCTTTCCAGCTTGTGCATATAATGCAATTCGCACAAAATTTCCAACACATGATGAAGCATTTACTGGATTTGATGAAGATATATCAGACTAATAAACAATTATCATGAATTAAAGCTCATTTTTTATTGAATTTTTGTATATGGAGTTATTTTTTGCTTTTGCATGACTCTGTTGGGAGGGGAGAATGGGGTGGGGGTGGCTTGACATTTTGTTATGATCAAGAATGTCATGACCCACCTTGAGGTATAAATAATGAATGGCCCCAGAGACAAAAGTGGACAGATACTGCAATATGTTTGAAGTTTCTAATATTTATTTAAAATGATTAGTTTGAGGTCTGTTTGTTCCATGGGCAATCTAAAACATTTTTATGACCCTTCATGGGCTGGTGGCACAAACTGCAATGAGGTTTTGCCCTTTAGTTGGTCTTGTTGTGGTTGCCTCATTAACTTGCAATACTAAATAATCGAGAGACACATTAAATTAGAATAAAAATGATATAATTTTGTTTACTAATGATACAATCCATATGTTGATTTTTCACACCTGCTGCTGTTGGAGGGACTTCTTTCACAACCATAGCTCTCCTATCACTTCGCTTCTTGATGGCCTCATCTTGTGGTTGCTTATTCAGCATGACATTCATTGGTTCAGGGGTCATCTTTAATTTATCATGTTCTTTCTTGCCTTCTCTTTGTGCTTCCAGGAAGGTTTCATAGATTCTTGAACATAGCCTAAAACAATGATAAGAATACAATTATTTACCCTTTCATTGAATCCAATTTATCTGTTTATTATTAATATAAAATTATCTGAAATCTATACATCCAAAGCCCTAACAAACTGTTACAAAGCTTGTGAAGTACCAGATATACTGTTGTTCACAATACCACTGATTTTTAAGGAGTAGAAAACTAATTGCATCATGACTATCGTCATAAATGCCTAATGACATATCACCACAAGGCCCACAGACTTACAAAAGTTTGCAGCAACTTTAACGTCTCTGACAGTAGCTTCCCCATTTTTGAATTTTGGGTACACCACCACATGCTGTTCTGAACCATCTGAATTCTTTACAACCTTTCTGTTAAGGTTATAGCTGAAGTGAATTGATGCAATTATGTGCCTAAATAAAAGAAGTTAAACATGGGTTTATTAATTAGAAAGTACACTTGCTATATATGTAAGTAGGTATTTAGTTGTATTGCATTATGTGATTTTATTAGTACCTAATATACATGCCAGGATAGGTATAAGCAATCATTTTAGAAGCAAACTGGTTTAGCACTAAGTGGAACCCCTCAAGGCAGCTTGTTTAAGACAAGGGAGATGCTTTCTGGATTCCTTTCTTTAACCTCTTGTTTGACAATGCTTTACACACCTTCTCATATACAACAGAATCTAAAATGTATGAAGAAAGATCACATTTAATTACTTTGAATTTAATCTGGTCACATCAAATTCCATGTGGTCTTTGTTCTCACAATGCTAAGACATCTGTGGTGAACATCAAGGGAAAAGCCAACGAAAATTACATATACTCTCATTAAGCCGCTCTCAATTTTGAATGTCACCATGAGAGCACTTGTCAAAGATAGGGTCATCAAGGTTTTCATGCTTGTTTACAATATGACCAAGAAATAACCCTCTCGTCACCAGACGAAGTAGAAGTAGCAC